TGAGAAACTAGCATTGAGTACAACACATTGTCCCGTCCTTGCATCATCCGAAGACACAAACTCGCTTTGGTATCACCCATGGCTACTTGAAGAGGAGGTGTCCAGAAGGAGCAGGTTTGCACTTACAACTCATGGAGTCACATTCTTTAATGTTTTCAAGTTCTTTTGCTGCAAGAGGCCTGCAGGTTTCATTTGCTTTTGCTCACCCAGGAATGCCTGGCAGCGGTTTGCTTCGAGGAGCCCTCCCTGAAGCTGGTGAAGATCCAGGTGTGGAAAGCGTTGGCCGTCAAGGTAGCTGCGGAAGTGTTATGACTCATCATTTGACTTATCCAGTGACTGTATAGCACTGGATGGCCTGACCCTTCGCCAAGATCTCTTTGAACCCATCGTCTTTCAGTAGCAAAGCCTTGCAGCCTCCCTCCGGTCACTCCCCCGCGGCCAACCGTGAGGTGTCGCCCCCAGGCCCGGGCGAAGTGCGGCTGCGCATCGTGGCTGCAGCGCCCAGCTTGGTGGACGTAGCCGCGCTGAAGGAGAGACATCTATTTTTTGCCGAATGTATATATATATATATATACAGAGATATGTATATATATATATTCTCCTGAAGCTTTCGGTGTACACAAGCCAGTTTGTATGGAAGAGTCTATATCCAAGCACAGATGGCCCTCATTCTCGGCCCCCTTATGGCCTGCTGTTTCGCGGCCTCCCAAAAGCTACGCAAAGCAAAACGTGTCGGCGCACAAGAGGCACGCGAGCGAATAAAACACGTCAATTGTGACCAGCTAGCGGCGGTTCATCTGACGAAACACAAAATTTACGAAAACATAGGTAAAACAGTATGCGGCGAAAACCAAACCAAATAGCAAAAAACACATAGCCAGGAGCGGAGTTTCCCTCGAATCCTGGGCGTTGAAGCCGCTGCGGTGGTGGAAGATGTAGGCGGGGTCTTCTCGAAGAATTTGAAGGGAGGGTTGTGAGTTCTGCAGACTGTCAGCGGGTTGATGGCTTTTGCGCCACTTTGCCTGTTGGTTGACTTGAAACACCTGTGGATGGATCATGATCATCGATCTGCCGAGGTGAAGGTGTTGAGGAGTTCCAGCCCGGTGACCATGTGATTCCCTGCTTTTATGCCAACTGCGGGCGCTGCAGCAGGATACCAACTTGCAAGATGACTTCTTGCAGCTCGCAGGACAACTTCTGCGAATCCATCCAGCGCTTTGCCAGTGCCTGGATCAATGGTGGGAACGGCAGGGGGGGAGGAGCCGAAGAGGCCCTTCAAGACTCTTGGAAGATGCCTTCAAAAAAAGTGACACTGTGACTCAGGAGGACTTGTAGAGTCTCTGTGACTTGTGAAATGGCACCTTGGAACGAGCTGAAGGATGAAATCTTGAGCACCAGTTTTGAACTATGAACATGAATGAACATAAGCTACTAGTAACAAGTGCATCGCTACTAGTAGCTTTTTGCTACTAGTTGTAATGCCCTTGTTACTAGTAGCGATACCCTTGTTACTGAGCCACCTTAAATTAATGTCCAACCCTCTGGCCGAGGTCGTGGACTCATGCGGGATGAGACCACCCGCTTCTCCTACGGCAGCACTGAGATCTTCCACTTCCAGGGATGCAGTGCCTTCAGTGTCTGGCTCTCAGCTTGTGCTTCAGCTTTGATGATTGTGCAAAACGGTTCTTCTTGAGCTTCTGTGCTCCACGTGCAGGAGTACACTGTGGTACATGCGCAGTCCCTAGTGAAGATCCGGAAGGACCTTCATCAACCACCTCTTTTCCTCCAATGTTTCATGTTGAAGCTGTCGGGTTTGTCGCAGGACGCGCCGCTGGAGGTGGCTTGCCTTTTGGGTGGCGGAGTGGCGGCTGCCCTTGGCATGGCCACCTGCAAGCATTCAGCGACGAAGTGGCTGAACAGCACACGCTTTCGTTCGGGTCACCAAGGTCTGGCGGGTGGCCGCACTGCCCTACGGCTGCCCGGTGGGAGCGGTCTTCGGGCTCCAGGCAGAGGGCCTGGCGGCCCTGCGAGCGTTGCAGATGGCCAAAGCGGGGAGGAGAGCGGTCTAGATGTGTTCTTATCGGTGCAGTTGTTCTGTAAGGAAGTATTGGACAACAGCCCAAGTCCTGAGGATTTTCGCTGTGGATCCTGATCCTTCAAGGCTCGACACCTGGCGTGCATTGGTGTGAGCCTTTTTCAGTGGCCTAGGAGGTAGGCCGTGAGGGTTCATCAACAATGCCTCTTTTTGAGGGAGAACAACTTTCAGATCCCGGGGTACTCAAGGATCGTTCATTTGGGACATAGAACTTGTGACATGCTGGGAAAGAGACCATGACGCTTTCAAGGCGGCTTGACACGCTGAGGAACTTGCCAAGAAGTGGGGTGCTACCGACCTCATCAACCCATACTCTCTTCCAGAGGGAAGTAGCATCAAGGAGGAGATCCTAAAGCGTGCAGAGCCTTGGCCTGCCAGACGTCCCTGACACTGATGAAATTCTAAAACGGGTCAGGATCAGCGTGTGCAATCATTTCGCGGGAATGATTCCTCTTCGAAGACTTCTATACTAATTACTGTATGTGAGACATTACGTGTGCATAAATGCCTCACCGTTATAGCCATCAGGGCCGAGCTGTCCGTGCCATCCCAGGAGGCCCCCGCAGATGTGGCCTTCGACACCTTGGGCTACGAGGCCACGCTGCAGCAGGCGCTGGCGCCATGGGCGCCGAGCTACGCTTTGGTCTCATCGGCATCCAGTGGCGGGGGCTGCAGGGACCAGGGTTGAACAACGGGTTGATGGATGAAGGAGGTAGAGACAACAGGTGATGTGCATACCTTATTGACACATGAAAGCAGGATGAGATTATCACTTCTTTCCTCGTAGTGTAAGCCCAGGTCGTTGCATTATAAATTTAGGTGTCCAAAACGGTTCTGAGGATTCAATCTTTCTGACATCGCCCACCTCCAACGTGGAATCAACTCCGATGTGTTGGTCATTTGTAGTTGGGTTTCAGGCAAATTCTCAGCGTTGCACTGCAGGTACCAGGTTTCCGGTATAGAGGGGCTATATCGCTATTAGGTTGGAGGCCATCGCTAGCGGGTTGGAGGCCATTGCTACTTAGGTCCGAGGTCATTGCTATTAGGTTTATACTGTGGAATATAGTGCCATGCCCTCTACGCGCCTTCCACGCGTGGATGGCCACTGAGACAAGGTGCGGTCCATGTCACTGGCGGCCTGGCGGGTCGTGGCATCCCCTTCGGGGGCTGGAGGCCAAAGCTTCATGTGCCACTGCTTGTCGCCGGGCCCTTAGCGAGGATGACCGTGGGATGTGCAAGACGAGCGTTCTGGTCTGAAAGAATTCCGTTGGTAGTAGACTGTAGAGCGGGAGTCTTAAAAATGGATTCTTCCTTCAGATCCTGGAAGACTGATTGAAAGAAACAGCATCATTCAGCAGAGTTCCGTTCAGGACTTGTTTATGGCTGGGGAGTTGAAGCTTCGCGCGCCTTTGTCTTTGATTCAGTGTTCCAGAGTCAAGTTTGGAAGGTGATGCCACATGATGCCACTATCATCGGCAAAGCCATTCCCCCTGAAGCCAAGGACTTTATCAGCCACACTGCGTCCTTCGCGGAGATTAATGAAGTTTTAGATTCCTACCACGAGCCAGACCGGATTCGGACGGTTCTTCGCTTCTGACCAATACCTGCTTCCGAGACTGCGCTGGTCTCGAAGTGTCAGAGCCCAGTCGTGTCTGTGTGGACAGAGAGAAAAGGGCCGAGAGCTGCAGATATCTGCAGATGGCATTCTTCGTACGTTGATTCATTGATTTGTGCACATTCATCCCTGAGCACATTTCTACTTCAGTAGCCAGTTCTTGATTTCTTTTTTGCATTCCGGTTTATGGTGTGGAACTACATGCAAAGGGTTGCAGCAATGAAGGCTCCATTTCAGTTCTTAGTAGCCCAAGCAATCAATTGAGCCAGGGGGCAAGAAAACATGAGCCATAAGCCAGCACCGTCAGCGCCCGTAGCAAATTGTAATTTAAATGAAACATGCTGAAGAAGTGTCCTAGATTGATTGCCCAGAACAGTTCTTCAAGCAAAGGGATGTGAACACAAAGCAACTACAATAACATCAGAATCGACTGCGCTGTACCGCACCTTTGTCAGGGCCTGTTGGTCCATACAGTCTTCATCCCAGCAAATCCGAGTGACATGTTGGCTGAGAATGTCATGCCAAATGCTTCGATTTGAGTCCTGAGGTTAAGATTGTACCCATTATATAGACCGAAAGACAATCTGAAACCTTTGTTTGATCATTTGATGCCACACCTTTCAATTTTGTATTGAACTAGCAAGTGGCAAATCTGTCAAATTAGCTTGCTTTCAGAGAGGCTGAGCAAAGTGTTTGAGGTCATGCGGGATGAAGTGCAGCGTTCACAAGGCATGGAAGTTTGTCTCAAGTGACTTGAAGCTCGTAGAAGCGCTTATCCATTTTTGCCTCAGGAACTGATGTTCCTCAGGCCATGGGCTGGTGCGGGTGGCCTGGAAGAGGTCCTTTGTAGGAAAACGTGCCGTACAATCTAGGCATCCAAATAAGGGCTCCAGCATGTCAAGATGAGAGCATGGTTGTAGAACACTGCTGCAATATGTTGACCCACATACCCAAACAAAAACACCGTTTAACAAGTTTCCAATCAGAAGGATAGACTGTTGGGACATTCAGGATGTACAGCTTCTTAGTGCATCAGGCAAGCGTTTGATCGGTGGGCATGCCAGGTGAGGGCAAGGAAGAAGGAGCAAAAGGCGCAGCATTTCCCTTTTGGAGATCCTTGAAGCAGCCTCTAGTGAACAAACGAAGCACACGAAACAGAGTTTTGCGACTGAAACCGCGCGCGAGCCAGCAGCATGTGGCATGGGCTTCTAGACACATCGCACATGGCACTTGCTTGGGCTCAAGTGGCTGGACAACTTTCACCCGTTTTTGAGTTCAGTTGTTGCCACCATGGACGGGCTGATTTTGGAAGGCAAGGACGACGGCAAGAGCAACAAGGTGCGACATGAAACGGAGAGCATCAAATCTACGGCTCAGTTTTCTCCACGTTTTGTTTGACTCGAACATGTTGCCATCAGCTTCCACCAAAATGTTCATCGGTTTTTGGGGAGTTCCTCGCGGTTCCTCTTTATGTCTTCCCGAGACGGCCGAACGAAGAGGTGCACATCCGTATGCAGCAGCGCAACGGTCGAAAGAGTTGGACCACGGTCGCCGGCTTCCCCGAGTCGGTGCGACTCCCGAAGTCCGGGAAGGTGCTGCAGGCGAGAGTGGGCGAGAGTGGGCGAGAGTGGTGGGCTTCTGATTGTTTGGAGACCAAGTAGTTTTGAGATCTGGTTCTGGGTATTTGGTTCTGGTGGCAGGTGGATTTCGAGAAGATCTTGCGAGCGCTGAAGAAGACCTTCAAGACCAATGGAGTGCATCACAGGGACCCTGATCATGGCAGCGTGCTGCAGCTGCAGGGAGATATCCGCAAAGACGTAGCAGATTGGCTGGTAGAGGTCACAGCAATCATCACCAAGGATCAGATCATGATCCACGGATCCTAGAGAGACAAGTCAGACAAGTGCCGTGCAGGCCTTTTTTGTACAGTGCGGCCAGTAAGACATGGTCATGCAGGGAGAATCGCATCCAGAGAAGATCAAGAACGCTCCACGTAGTTCCAGAGAAAACAGCGCTTTTCAATTACCACATGCCTGCTGCGAAAAGAGTGAGAGAGACGGAGAGAGACGCCTATGTGTGCAGTCAGGCCTGCGCCTTTGGTTCCTCTGCAGAGCGAGGTGCGCACTGCGAATTCCCCGGTCATGGACTTGTTCTCCAACAGGGCAAAGCTTTTGTTGGAGCACCCAGATTCAATTTCATGCTGTTGAGTCACCCGCTCCCTCAGAGGTCCAGAAGATTGAAAGATGTACCCATATGTACCCATCAATTTGGCAGACAGCGCAAGTTCATAGAATCAAACATAGACTTTTGACACGGCCTGATGGACTTGGAAAGATTGGTTATGACTACTGCAAGCATTTGCATGCAAGACTATTATATATATATATTATAGTTTGCTTATACTGTTTTATACTATATACCTTGAATTGCCCCCAGAACAGGTAAATTGTGACTAGGAGTCGATGTATGGATAGTAGCACGAGAAAGACGTAAGATGCGAGAAAGATGAAGGCTGGGGTAAACATACAAGCAACCCAAGTGAAGTACTTGACAGCATCGTCGGAGACAAAAACATAGGTGATGGTAGATGTCTTTTGCATGCAACCAAATCCTTTTGAACTTGACAGGCTTGGCAAGCCTGACTCTCCTCACCAGACCACGTTCAGGTGCGGAAGAGTTGTGGGTTTGCTGCTCCTCAGTGGTCAATGCAAGAATATCCCGTTTTGGTGGAACCGTACAGATGGGCACAGGCAACGGCAACGCGAACTGTTCATATTACTGTAATCGTTTGTGGTTCGAGGTGAAGAAGTGAAGCCAGAGGAGACCTCAGAGCAGAGAGATGGTCGAAGGTGCAGATGACTCTGGAAATGTTGATGGGGTAACAAGAAGCTACTAGGAACAAGTGCATCGCTTCTAGTAACAAGTGCCTTACTACTAGGAGCAAGAAGCTACTAGGGGCTCCTGGCCTTACTAGTAGTAACAAGAAGCTATTAGTACCTTAATGGTCTCGCCTTAATGGCCTCCATGCTAGACCTTGCTCAAACTGCCAAGGCCCAGGAGCATCGGAGGCGTTCGAGCTCGAGCTCTGGCGATGGGAGGCAACCACACCCAGACTTTCGTGTACAGCATGATTCATTTGTGTTTCTTTCTTGTTCCGTGATAAGAAGCAGGTGCTTCTCGACCATGTCCGGAGTCTTGACCAAATGAACCATTTGTTCAATCAAGTTTCCCCACGGTTGGAATCATATGGTTCTTCCATCATGTCGAGGCAGTGTGTCACGCCCATGGCAGCAGAGCACAGCTTGGAGCTGAGTTTGGATTTCCAAAGGGACTGTGCACTTGCTGCTCAGCATGCGATGCAGGACTAGCAGAATGGATGATGCTTGAACTGACTTGTGCTTAGAAGGGAATGAGGGAATGGATCCAAAGGACTCTGTACTGGGAGCTCATTCCCCTTATTCCCTACACGTCAGTAAAAAGGATTGGCCCTTCATTTTCAACATGGTCCCATGTGCCCCCCCCGTTGAGGCGAGGCCTCGGAAAAGATCAAGGCACGGATCCAGTGCTGCCTACAGAGCCGCGCGGGCAACGGGAGGAGCGGCGCTGGGAGATGAACGAAAAGAGGTGAGGTAGCAGGTGGGAGATGTGCCATCGGGGTGGAACAGAAAGAAGAAAGATTCTGAAAAAGATTTGGTGAAATGATGTGAATGGAACCATTTGGATCCATTGGTTGGTAGGAAGCTGACCCGCACGTGCATCAGCTGCTCTTGACTTTCTGATCCGCCTTGCTTGCATGAGAACGGTGTTCAAGTGCGGTGAACAGCCCGGCAAACTCTCAGGAGCAAGCAGTGGAAGGGTGAGGCTTGGTGGCGCATGGAAGAACTCATTCGGAGACCATTTTGACATCGAACATCTCACATTCTTGCAGATGAACACACCCAAACCTCACAAGCTGTTGGTTTTCCGGTTTCGATTTGGCGGAACACTGCTGCTTTGAAATCCGCATACACCCACTTTGCCCGACTTGTGGTTTTCTCTATGACAAGAACGGGAGAACTCACACGTCGACCTCGAGAAGTGAATTTGATTTGAGAATAGAATGGCTTGCCATCTTGCTCGGCTCATACAGGGTCATGACAGTTGCGGTGACATGAGGCTAAGACAAGCCGCTCTAGGATGCGGCGCAGGTTGCATTCACAGTGACAGCACCACCAAGCTCGTGCCAAAAGGCTGTGGTGCAAAGTACTGAAAAAGTCCCAGAACCAGTGCCCGAGAAGCCCCGAGGCCTGTCGTTTGTGGTGCACGGGGTTTGAGGTTGAGTCTCCAGTTTTTGCGCCGGTATGCGATAGATTCCTTTGCACGCTTTTCTGGGAGAACTTCGCGGGCCCAAATCGCAGGCCGCAAGTCTTTGAGGGGTGACAGCAGGCGAGATGGCTGGTGACGAGAGTTAAGCGGATCAGCTCTTGTGAGCAATGGAAGACTGAATGAACAGCAGAAGCTGCTTTCATTCGTCAACCTCAAGTCCACCGCGCCGTGTGCAATGGCCTTGTGCGATGTTTGAATTCTTGGAATGTCTCTTCGTGTGCCTAGAAGCGAACTCATGAGGTCACCCAACGTTGGGGCCAAGGAGGCGGGGGCAGGAGTGGTGTATTTTTTGGGGGTGGCGGGGTCCATTTCTGCAGCGGCAGATTTTTGGAGGCCAAGAAACTGCACTTCCTGGGTTTTGAGATGCTTTCAGCTCCAAGCTGGCAGGGCTTGGTGACCAGCTCTCGCTCCACGCACGGGAGCCTAGCTGGTCCCATGGAGCCAGAGTCTGGAAATGACATGGTCAAGAACCAAGGGATTGATGGAACTGAGCTGATGGATCTGGCTCCGATTTTTGGTGGAAGTAACCACGTGCAACAAACCCAGCAATGCACTGCTCCAGGCGTAGGTCCCACCTGTCAAAGGGGAATTCTTGTGAAATCCAATAAGACAATCTCGGGAAGGGCCGTAGGGAGATCTTCGAACCTCTGGTCTCGCCTCGCGTCTCAGGTCTGCTGGGGTGAGCCCACAGCGTGATCAGAGCAACAGATCCACAGGCGAAGTGGTGTCAACGTGGTGAACGTCTTCAAAAGCAATGTCCCTACTGAAACACTCCGCTGTGTCCAGATCCACATTAGTGGGTGCTTGGGTGTTTACCCCGAGTGGACTGATTTCTTGTTTTCATTTTTTTTTGGTAGATGGTGACTGACTGACTGACTTTAGTTATCTTTCTATAACTGCCACTGTGCTTTGCATGAGGATGCACCTGCTAGGCCCGCCTGCTGCTTTTGCTCCGCCGGTGACGCGTGCGCAGCGGGTGCTGGGGCGAACTCCTAGCCCACCGCGGGAGAAAACTCCAGAGCCGCAAGGAGAGGGGACGTGGAGAGGGCTTCTTTGCTTGTGTTCACAAGTTGTAGTTTAGAACGTGGCATTTCCTATATTTCAACGTCATCGACGCTGCGACGCTTAGATTGAGGGCTTGCAGAAACTAACATTGTTCTGAGACTCCGCACGAAATCAGTTCGTGAATCCCACGGAAAGTTGACAAGACGCTGATTCTGTGGCTTCCCTGGAGGAAACAATCTTTTGGATGTTTATCGCAGCATCTTCGAGGAGATCATCCAGTTGGATCACCAGTACGGGGCCACACTCCGAAAGGCCTGAATTCTTTGAACATCCGAGAGACTCCGAGAGACATGTCGAGCCGGGTTTTCCACAGAAACAACCCCTTCGAGGTCTTTCTTATTCTTTCTTCACTGTTTTGGTCCTTTGCACGAGTGTTCGAAACGCTTCCTACCCGGCAGGTGAAATCGATCTACGATTCTCATTTGGATGGCATCACCGAGGCGTTTTGCGTGCAGAGCCATGCCTTCGTGAAGAGTGACGGTGATGCCTTGGTGCAGAGTCAAGTACAGACGTCCAACGAGAACAGACTTGCACAGATCGCTGCCGATGGAGTGTTGTTGTTTCTGAAGGGCACCACTGGAGGAGTTCCTGCCCAGTTCGCACCAAGACCTTTCTACTATAGGATAGGCATAGATAGTCTAGAGGATTCTGTACAGGTGTCTTGGAGCCACTAAGAAGCGGCTGGGCTCGTTTTGGGAGTCCTGCCTTGGCAGTTGCGCCGGGAGAACGACCGACTTCGGGCAGCTCTTGCACCAGGCTGGGAGGGTTCAGTACTATTAACATTGATTCTGACAAAGATGTGAAGTGCGCGTCCTTGTTACTAGTACCTTCTTTTTCCTAGTAGGAAGGCCAGGAGCTACTAGTACCGTCCATGCCCTTTGTATCCCTTTGTGACTAGTCACTTTGTTCCTTTAACCTTCACTACCTTCATTCATCTTCCACCTTTCCGGTCGGTGAAGCCAGGTGCATGGAGTCAGCTCCGGCCCTCCCCAAGCGTGGCGGGGCCTTTGGCAGTGCCCGTGGGCGCGCCGTTGGGTGTCGTACGGATTGCCAAGTGGAGCTGGAGCTGGGTACAGAAGCTTGTTGAGTTTCTTTTCTTTTTTTGGACGCGGTTGGAGTAAAGCTGTGCCGAAGAGCAAGTTTTGACAAAGCAGTATTCAAGAAGTTTGGGATCAGCGTGATAGTCTTTTGTTAGTGCTTCCTTCAGAAGAAGCAGATGTCCTTCCAGAGCTTGTGCCATGCTCAAATGCTCAGATAAACACAGTGGGTCGATCAATTGTTTTGGTCCAAGGCCCAGCAATTTCCGCTGAACGGTGCTGGGCGGCCACAAGCAGTGCCCAGGTGAAATGTCGATTGGTCGTCAACCTTCAGAATGATAGCTTAAACAACCTTTTTTTCAGATGCACAGGTGACAACGAAGTTCTCGCCGTGCGGCTACAACCCCTTTGCAAGTGTTTGATAAGGATAGGGTAGCTTCAGAGCTTGCTTGTGTTTGAAACTCTCTCCGGCCTTTTTTTGGAGAGGTAGTGCAGTGGTAGCAGTCACTACGCCTTCTTGAGAAGATCTCCTTTGTCTGAAGTTCAGGGTTTAAAGGTTTTTTTCACCAACCCCTGCGCCCATCGGTTCCCATCGGTCAGGTTGAATTTGCAAGGATTGTATCCTGCCAATTGAGGTGCCCAGTCCCCCGTAGTGTCGTTCTTGTCAACAGTTGCAAGGCCTGCTTGTTGTTCTCAGGCCCTTATGTTTATACAAAGGCTAGCAAACTGAGTGTTTGAAGTTTGAAGTTCCGGACCAAGTTGCCAATGCCTCAAAGAAAGCATTAGCACAAACACACAGGTTTCCCCTTTTCACATTGACACATTCCGTCTCCGAGCGTTTGGCTCACAGTCTGCACTGAAGACCTGGGCTCCGAGGTGACGACTCCAAACTGGTGACTGGTGTTACCGTAAGAATTCACAGGTGTTACTGTAAGAATTCAGCAAAGAAGAACCGTTTGCTCTTAGATCTCCTGGAAAGCACCATACTATGTAGTCCTTCGGAGGCTTATCAGGGGTTCATCAACATTCTGTCTCTTGCAACCATAAGTTGATTGTTTGGAAAGCGCTTTGACAGGCTGTTGTTGCCTCAATCTCCCTTTTCACGGCGGACATCAAGCAACTAGCATCAGAGTTTTGTTTCTTGTTTCTTTTTGTGGAGCTGGTTTCTAGTCAAACTGTCAACATGCTGAATTTGTAGTAGTGCAGAGTTTTGTTGTGTACGCAGATATTTCAGGGATCTGAGCGAGTACCATGAGGACCCGCTCAACCGTTGTGATGATCTTGGCAGAAGTGGGTTTCCAGAACTCCATGGGATTTGATCACACTAATTGAAGAGGCAATCCATTGAAGGAATTGAAGCCCTTCACCACTGTGGAAGGCAATGAGCTTCCTGCGGCTTAGTTTGCTCCTTTGTGCGGCCTCGGCCTCTGCCAGCTGCGTGATAACTGCCCAGGCAGGACCCGTTCAGACAGTGTGGATTCGAGACATCAGCGCAGTAAGGGTGGGACTGTCATCCTGACGGCACCCCAATGCAGACATGAGGCTCTGTCAGTGTCGAAGCGACTGCCTGGTGTTCAGGTCTGCCAGAACTTCCCGGACTTCAGCAGGCAATGGACAACTTCAGACAACTGACTAGATATTTTGAGCACATAGTCATCTCGGGAGTCTTGAGTCTGGGCAGTTGGCATACTGAATGAATAGCTGCAAGCATCGTTGTAGAAGTCTTGCCGAGTCTTGCCATGTTTAATATGTCCTATCGTCCTACAGTGTCCGTAGATATCACTGTAGTGACTGTAGTGCTTCCTTGTACGGTATGAGAGAGTTTTGTTTTTGAAGATGGAACGCAGAGGAAGAACACCTCGTTGCTGCATTTTGAAGCATCCTTAATGTTCTGCCATTTTGTAAAGTGTTGGCTATTCAAGGGGCAGGTCGATCTGTGAGTAGCTCACTTTCCATAGTTGAAACGAGAGTCAGAGAAGGCTGCATATGTAGGTGGGTGCCCGTTCAGACTGAGCTTAGTGGCTTAGGTGTGTGAGTGTGTGTGAGGCAGCTTCCTATTTTTCTTTTGAAAAGCCGCACACGTGCTGTTTCGTGTGTGCGATCACCAGTGGCTCTCGATGTGCGTCGGACCAACGATACAAAGAGGACACAGTTCCGAGACCTTCTGGGCGAGCTGCACTTGGGCTCCGCTGGATCAGAAGCAGTTTGCTTGAAACGTGCCGAGGAGTGGGAATGGGGAGTTGTTGTATGGAGAACAATCACACCGCAAACGCCACTTAATCCTGTACTTAATTTCAACAAGCCTGAAGCATGAATCATGGTTTCAATATAAGCACAAGCTGCTCATGAAATGGGAACTGTTGTTGCTTTTCTTGAAAGGACTTCCACCATTGGTGCGGGAACAATGCGAGCACTTCTGTGGCTTCTACCTTCATGCTGGACAAGACACAGTTCTATGACCCAAGTGACTCGTCCAAGGGATAGGCGGTGAGGTTTGGTAAAGCCGTGGCCACGCCGTGGGAAAGTTGTTCACTCAAACAATTGGTATTCCACGCACTGGTTGTCAAGTCTAAATATAAATTAATGAATTGCATCAGGGTGGTGGCCTGAGAGAAGTGGTGATGGGACTCACTATCGACTTAGGTGCGTGTGATGCTGGCTGGTCTCAATGGGACACCTTCTGCTATCGTTTTCACCTGGCCGCTTGAGAGCAGCGTTGGGTCGAAGAATTGGTGGTTCAAGCATTCGACTCGACCATTTGCTCACGGTTTCCTCTTGTGTGTTTGACTCAGTTCTGAGGACATGAAAACGTGGCTGGATGCAGAGAATGTTTGCAGAGCTTCGAATGCTCATTTGGTGCCTTGATGCCACAACTTTTGCAAGCTGCATGTATTCTGAATCACTGAATGGTACGTTGGTGCTCAGGATGCACTTGTCAGCAGGTCGGTCGTGATATGCTGATTCGGGTAATCAATTGAGGATCCTTCATCCGAGGCTTCCATTCATTCGGCAGAGGAGAACAGCTTTGTTCACCATTTGGCAAACGGCTTGAAAGTCTGGATCGGCTACAATGGTCTCAAGAATGAATTGCGCCACGGTCGCAATAATGCTAGTCTTTGTTTCTTGATTGACAGAGGCCGCTACATCGTGCTGTTGAATATAAAGACAAGGACATGATTTTGCCGGAAGTGGCCATGCGAATTGCTTCCAGTCTCCGTGAATCAGAATTCCCAAACCTTTTGCCATGGGAGATGTATAGGTGTTGCTTGGTTTGTTTGGAAGTGATTTTTTTTGCATGGTCGAACGCGCTTTCTTATTGGCTCAGACGTCCTCACGAATCCAGCATTGATCGGTGGACACAAAGTCCCTCCAAAAAAGCATCGGAATCACGAATGATGGGGCTGCTTCGGCTTCGATGCTTGTGGTTGTTGATCTTTGGAGTTTATGGATCTCACTTCTCCACCAGATCAGACTTACGAGCTGCGCTGCTCCAGCGCCTTGGCAATGGCCACTCCCTACCGCGACCCTGAGCGACCGCGCGTCCCTTCACGATCTCGCTCGGAGCGACGTCGATGCGGTCGCAAGTTCAGTGGACCGAGAGCGAGCGAGTTCGGTCGCACGTGAATCGTGTCGGATGTTTTCAAAACAGAAGATCCTCGAAGAAATGGTGAATCGTGTGCATCGTCACGTGAATCGTCAACTGCCGGATGTCTTGAGGATGTCAACCATTTCAAAGAAGAAAAGAAAAGATCCACGTGAATCGTGTCGGATGTCAATCGTGTCGGATGTTTTCTTCTTTTCCATAGAAGATCCTCGAAATGGTCCCGCATGGTATGCTTTGGGAGATCAAGCGAGGTTGACAGCCACGCGAGTCAAACTTTTGGGGAATAGTCTGTCTAGTGAGTGTTGAAATCTAAACAGAACCCACCGAAAGGACCAAACAACGGTAAATAATCATCAGGGCTTCCCTTTAATTCAGGGTGGTGGGCTCATTTATTCCTTTCGACCTTTCCTGAAACGACTCGACCGAGGTGGCACAATGCGAACGAGGCCACCAAGTTGCAGCTGACCTCGTTGTGGGGAGCACCTGGTGAATGGAACGTGTCATCGGTGACCAACATGAACCTAAAACAAGAGTGGGAGATTTTGTGTTTGTAATTGTTTTGTGTGGTTGTTTTGTGAGTTTACAATAGTTACTGTGGCTATCTGTGGCTTACAGGCTTCACCACACACTTGAATATGCCAAATTGGTTTGGTATTGACTTCCTGGAGCGTGAGATGAATTGATGCTGACAACCAGGGAATCCTTCCTTCTGGTAGCTGGCATCATTTCCACCGTACCTTCAAGTGAGGAGGAATCAAACCTAATGGCCCGGTCTGCCAGAGCATGCCAAGATTCTTGAGGGTGGTTCCGAGAGAAAGAGAAGAAAGAGAAAGGGCATCGAGTGGCTCTAAGGAGTGGTCTTTTCAAGGACTTGGATGTCTTCAATGAGAATATCAGCGCATGGGATACTTCGAAGGTACTGGATATGAGTTCCATGTTCCATGGAGCCGCTGCATTCAACATGCCCATCGGACATTCAGCCGCACTTTAAGAGTTGGTTAGACCGATTCAGTCTAATGCTTTCGGGCGGCTCGCCCATCCCAGCCGAAACCACTGGGCCGAAGGTGGCGGTATCAGCTCTCGTCCATCCCACAAATCACAGACAAGGTCCCAGGTCAACAAAAAGACTCGGAGGTCGTTCGTCCATCTCAGTGCACAAGACAGTTCTTCACAGTTCTTCCCAGTCCGAAGGTGCAATAATATTTGAAGAATTCCGGTTTCCATTTTTTTTTCCAAGAGATCACTCGTCAACACATGTTCGCAAACGAACCTCAAATTTAGGGCAAGGGTTGGTGTTGACAGTTCATTCATTCCTGGAAAAGAGGCAATTTCTTTTTTCTTGAGATGTTTAGACCACCAACATGTGTGCTGCCAATCGTACTGCGGTTATTGCAAGTGATTGGAATGTCCACTCCTTTGTGAGAGAATCAAGGCATGTGGAACACATCAAGTGTGAAGACAATGCACAAAATGTTCTACAAGGCTTCCAGTTTCAATGAGCCCATCGGTGCTTGGGACACGTGCAAAGTGAGAAGCATGAAGGGCATGTTCTACAATGCTGTGAAGTTCAACCAACCCATTGGATTCTGGAAAACCTCTGCAGTCACAGATATGTCGTTCATGCTGTGTGGAGCCAGATCCTTTGATCAGCCGATCGGTGCTTGGGACACAGGCAATGTCAAGAACATGATGAACATGTTCACACTGGCAGCGGTCTTCAACCAACCCATTAATTCGTGGAATACCTCTGCTGTGACGAACATGTCCGCAATGTTCGTAGGAGCCGTGTCTTTCAACCGGCCCATTGGTGGGTGGAACACCTCGCGGGTGAACAACATGAGCTACATGTTTGAACAAGCTGACACCTTCAATCAGCCGTTGAATCATTGGGACACTAAGGCTGTTACGAGCTTCTCTGGCATGTTCTTCCGTGCCAAATCCTTCAACCAGCCCGTGGGAATGTGGGAGACATCATCAGCCACAGACATGAGAGAGATGTTTGCTGGGGCCCAAAGTTTCGATCAGTCCATCTCAACATGGAACTTGACATCGATCGCTGATGCACAGGCTATGGCCGAAGTTTTCACGGGTTCAGGCATGTCCACATGCATGGTGAGTCGCAGTTCCCAAGCTTGGGGTTTGCCGCCTTACAGCATTAGACAGACTTGGTCATATCAATCCTGTGACAAATGCCCTTGTCAAAGAACGAACTTGGCCTGCGTGGATGAAGCCTGTCGACCAGTGAACTCCGCTTCATTGAGCTGGGCCGAGGTGTCTGGGACGATCGAAATGCAAGTCTGACAACGGCTTTGGGCTTTCGAGCATGTGTCAACCGCTGCAAAGATTCGGAGTGCGGTGCTTTTCTTCTGGAAGAGTCTGGACGCTGCTGGCTGATGAACGACCAGAGTGAGCTCAGCTTGCGGCGCGGCCTTTTCCGTGAAGGAACTGACACCCTTTCCACATGTCATGATAGCTTTCTAGCTTTGTCTAGCTGTTTAAACAGTATGGCTCATGTTTCAAGATGTCAAAGCTCAGCCACGGCTCTCCTGGAGGATCGGGTCAGAGCTACTTGGCGTTTCGCACGGCCTCTTGCAGTACCTTCTCGTGCCCCGAGGGAACGACACTGGCGATGGGTCATAACGGCTCAGACATGACGGCGACCATGACGGCGGCCTTCTGTTGCAGGTGTGCTGCTCCCAATGAGGTTCCGTTTCGGAGCAAGGCACCTGTCACTTGGAGCTGCCAAAGTGTGCAAAGATTCACCTCTTTCTTGCACGATTTAGCTGTTTCCTTTGCTTTTGCGTTTTTTCCAAGCATGCGCTGATTTCGTTTGATTGGGGTTCGATAATTGGTACAAGCTGTACTGTACTTTCAACGAGTGTCAGGTCTACAAGAAAGTGGGGTTGAACACACCTCCCTTTATGCCGAAGGTTCGCTCTTCGGGTTTTCTCCGGGTTTCTCCGGTTTTCTCCGCATCCAAGCACCAGAAAATCCCCAAAGCCTGAGCGGTGTTTTCTTCTGTGCATTCTGGGCCATGCGGAGCCACTGGTGTGGGGCTTCTGAAAAAGGTGGCATTTCTCGGGCGGATCAAGACGTGGATGACGATTAAGTAGCTTTGGTCACAGATCGCTCGATCAATCGACCAGGATCCGGGCTCGTCACAGCGCCCATGCGGGTGTGAGCCTTGCATATTTGATGGGCGACTTTGTACGGTTGGCCTATGACTGGTCTGGCGAAGAGAATCCAAGCTTTCTTCGCTTGAAGGAGGCCACCCAGCCGCATGCATCTCTGAATCGCATGAACCTTTGCTCTTCCTTCAGGCTGAAGGTCTTGTTTTTCTGCTTTACAATACCTTGAAACCCTATTGCCAAGACGTGCGTTTTTGTTGAGGTCTTTTGGCAGGGTGACGAGAAGCTCGGGTCCAACATTCGTTGCCCTCGAGATGGCAGACCAGGCTGCGCGCTTGTGGATTGGCTTCCACGAGAGCATCGACGACTGCAAACTCATTTCATGCGACCAGGAACACATATATTTTTCTTATGTGTTCTTATTCTTTTTCTATCATCTCTTGGAGTCCAGGGAGCATTCTGTTTGAATGTGTTTTGCGACCTAGACATGTGCTAGTGCAGGGTTGCTAGAGAAGATTTGCTTGGGTTGTAGGTGTTTCTTCCATCGGCTTTTCGGGATTTCGAAGACAACAGCAATGTTTTTCTTCTTTTCCCAAGTTGCCCACGCCATATTCTCGAGGAAATGCGTTTGGTAGAGAGGGTCTGTGGGAGATTAAGAGTGGAACATGATGATCTTGAGGTCCTGGAGTTGGCAATATTCACTTCAACAACTCCAGAGTGCCATGAAGATGTGGAGATCAACCCGAACCCTGGAGTTTCATGACCTCTCAGCTGAATCAAGTCGGTTTTGGTGGAGTGCAACGTGATGGAAGGAGGTTATCAGAGCTAGAGTTGCTAGAGTAGTACTCTGAAATTTCAGATAAGTCGGTCGTGTGAGTCAGTGTGTCAATTGACTTTAACTGCCCTTTATTCCCCAATAGCCATGCTATGGGGTCTTGCAAAACTAATAGGCGGACGGGCGCCGTCGGGTCACCGTCAGAGCTGGTGGGCGGATGGTGTCCCGGTCATGTTTTGATGGCGTCCGGGTCATGTGATGCTGGTGTCCCGGTGTCCCGATCATGTTTTGATTGTGACCCAATCATGTTGTGATGGTGTCCCGGTCCTGTTTTGATGGTGTCCCGGTCATGTTTTGATGGTGTCCCGGTCATGTTGTGATGGTGTCCCGGTCATGTTTTGAAGGTGTCCCGGTCATGTTGTGATGGTGTCCCGGTCATGTTGTGATGGTGTCCCGGGCATGTTTTGATGGTGTCCCGGTCGTGTTGTGACGGTGTCCCGGTCATGTTTTGATGGTGTCCCGGTCCTGTTGTGATGGTGTCCTGGTCATGTTTTGGCGGTGTGCCGGTTATGT